TTGGTCCAGTGTTTCTTTTTTTGTGGGGAAAACTCACAAATTCAAATTTAAAAAAAAAAAAATTTCTGACGATTAAAGCGACTAAAATAACCTAGCATGATAAAAATAAATATTTAAACTGATTATTGTCTTTATTATTTTTAATCAAGTCAATAGAAAGATGTAGGCGGCACGGTAACGCAGGTCGATGGATCTGCCGTGGGGCCTTTCTGAGTGGAGTTTGCATGTTCTCTCCGTGCATGCGTGGGTTTTCTCCGGGTACTCCGGTTTCCTCCCACAGACCAAAAACATGCATGTTAGGCTGATTGGTAACTCTAAATTGTCCCTAGATGTGAGTGAGAGTGAATGGTTGTCTTGTTTGTCTCTATGTGTCCATGTGATGGACTGGAGACCTGTCCAGGGTGTCCCCGCTTCTCGCACAGTGACAGCTGGACATGGGCACCAGTGACCCCAGTGACCTGAAAAGGAAGAAGCGGGTAAAGATGATGGATGGATGAAAAATAAAAGATGTACACACCACCAATAAACATGCACTCCAATTAATAATAAAAAAAACAAGAATGAGAGAAAACAATTTGTTCTCCAATCCTCAGAGCAGAATTAACAAATCAACGTGCTGTGGTTACACTGGGATTGTTCGATGAACCCATTTATCTCGACCCTGCTGGTTTTGCTGGGCTTCAGCTTAGTCACATGGCTGCACCATCAGACACTGGATGTGTGGAAATGTGCACGAGTTTTTCAAACAAAAAGCTCCCGTGAAAGTGCACCCTTGCGAAAAGAAAATTCACAACATTCATATTAAAGTTCATACGTTTGATATGGTTGAAAAAATAGCCCTGTGAGAAATTCCAAGTAAAGTTAATAAAAAAGTAAAAATGTTCATAAAATTCAAATTCAAATAGAAGTTCTAATTATTTCATCCAGAAAGAACTATGTCATTTTTTTATAATTTTATTTAAACCTACCTAAAAAGAATCGGAATTCAATAGGAACTGGAATCGAAACCGGAATCGTTCAAATTCAAACGATGCTGAACCCTAGACTTCGCCCTGCACAACATCCCGTCTCACGGAGCTTTAAGTTAGCAGTTTCACAGAAACATGCAGGAACAATGCTAAATGTTAGATATTTGAGCAGCTCATGAAGATGCTTTTTCTTTTAATGTTACATCAAAATCCAGAACTGTGTTTCAGTCAAAGTGCTCTCGCATGATTTGGACCAGTTACGTCTCCTAGACGAGACCCGGTGGACTTCCTGACCAAGCACCATACATCCTCTTCTCCGTGTTTAACATACGTTTTGTGAACTCATTGCAAAATCATCAAGACAGGTACAAAATGTATAAAAGTCTTATGCAAGGACCAAAATCACCACAAATACTTGTTCATACTGATGGTAAATGAGTCTTTAAATTAAAAGCGTTAAGCAAAATTGTTCAACGGCTGCCAACCAGAGTGTTTGTTTTCCTACAGAAACAGCTGAAGTGACTGAAAAGAGGTGCAACGTTCATGAAAGGGACGTTTGAAATGACCAAGTGCAACATATTCGATGCATTAATGCATAGTCACTTTTAGATTTCTAAGCTTTCACAAAGTTTTTGTTAGAACCAGCCATTGTTTACATTGAGTGCGTACCCACATTTCAGAAATGCACATCATTATATCTGGACAACTAAACGTTTTAATTTTAATTTTTTTTTTTTATGTTTTATTTCAAAGTTTGCAATGAGCACCTTTAACTGCAGATGTAAAATAGAGAAACAACCTTTTCATAGACTGTTCCTGCAGTCTGACTGTCCACTCTTGGAAGAGTCCTCCGCATGACTAACCCTGGTCTTGAGGGGCTCCATCTTGGAAACTGCTGCACTGAAGTCCAAAAGTCAAATCCAGTTCAGCTTTAATTCTGATCCATATCCCACACATCCCAATCAGCACTGATGGGCATGTTGGCTCCTTTAGTAAGCCTTTGGTTGACAGCCTGTCCCAATGTTTACAACATCTTCCTGCTTCTATTAGGCAATCATTTTACGTGTAAACATTGACATATGGCCATTTTAAGTTAGCTTTTGTTTGTTTCATGCATGTTTCTTAGGATGCCATTGCTCAGCCCACCTCCTGCCATCAGCCCCCTCCTCTCACAGCATCCCCACAACAAACACATGACGATCTTGGCAGCCACTTTCAAAGTATACTGCTTCAGTCCAGAGCACATATACAGATTTTCACATTAAAACTGCACACTGTGATCCGGAGAACAATGCAAAATCATTGTGCGGCAATAAAAACCTGCTCTCCAGCAGCAGCGGTTAGCACAGGAATGCTGAAGTCATAGAGGCCTAAACATGGGGCCTTGCAGTGCTTTTTAAAAATGTGCCGCGCGCTCGTGTGTACGTGCGTGCACACCGGAGCACCTGCGTGCAATCCTCATTCTGCCTAAATCAAAAGCAGCTCCGATCACAAATAGTTCCAGTGTGAGTCAACAGTGTTTTGGTTACGAACAACCACCCTCTGTGGTTTCATGTGATCATAAAATTACACGTTCCCATCGTGCGCTGGCTCCGACTCAAACGCGAGAGCTAAACTACAGCAAGGGTTCTGTCGCAGGGTGAAGATCATTCCATGCATCCAGGAAGGGAGATCAACACGAGACGATCGGATGAGGAGATAAAGAGGAGGTGAGGTCTGTCATCGTCTCGTTCTGTGAGATCAGGATGTGACGACGTGAAAAACAACAAGATCCAAGAAATGCTAAAACCCTCAAATCATGCTGGTGCAGTAAAAACACATTTTGACACCAGTTGTTTTTTTTTCAGCTCATGACTATACAGAGAAGATTATGTAAAATTGTACTTCAATAAAAACAACAAACAAAAAACTCCAAATAACTATTTTAGACAAACAGAAGCAGTTTCTCCTCGGTTACTTTACAATACTGGAAGTTTGTTAAACAACAGAAGCCCATTTCTACCACGTTCAAGAAGATAAAAGAATAATTTAAATCATTATTACAATGTGCTATAAATTAATATCCCATAGTTATAAAAATAGTGAGCCATAACGCCGAGATACGTAAAGTAATTTTTTATCCAAAGTGGCGCAAATAGGCTATTTCTTCTGGTAATTTAAACTTCTTTCTGCCTTTTTAAATTTTTTTTCCAAATTTCTACCTTTTTCCAGATAATTTCCACTTTTGTGCAATTATTTCTGCTTCTTTCAGCCTAATTGTGCACAATTGTGTTTTCTCTACTTCCTCATGATAATTTAAGCTTCTTTCTGCCTTTTTACCTACTGTTTAGCTTTTTTTTTTTTTTTTGGGTGTTATAAATTTTCTGTCTTTCAGATATTTTCCATTTTTTGTGCTCATTTCTGCTTTTTTAAGCCTAATTAGGCACAGTCGTGCTCTCTCCACTTCCTTCAGGTAATTTAAGCTTCTTTCGGCCTTTTTAGCTACTATTCAGCATTTTTTTTAAGCAAATTTTGGCTTTTATCAGATAATTTCCACTTTTGTGCTCATTTCTGCTACTTTCAGCCTTATTGTGCACAGCTCTCTCCACTTCCTGGTAATTTAAGCCTCTTTCTGCATTTTTAGCTACTGTTCAGCTGTTTATTTTTTGGGGCGTGTGTGCAACTTTTCTGCTTTTTTCAGATAGTTTACATTTGTGTGCTCATTTCTTCTTCTTTAAGCCTAATTAGGCACAGTTGTGCTCTCTCCACTTCCTTCTGGTAATTTAAGCTCATTTAACTCTTGTTTAGCTGTTTTTTTTCTTGCTTTTTCAGATAATTTCCAATTTTTGGTGCTTATTTCTGCTTCTTTAAGCACAAGTGGGCTCTTCAAATTCAGTTTCTGATGGTGTAAGTTTCAGCCCATATTAAACAAACATCACAAACATGGCAGGAAACGTTTCGGAGCACTTTAACACCCTGCTGTGATGAAACGGCTGATGACCAGTGACTGATGGAAACGTACAAACAAATTTGAAGGAAGCAGCTCTATTTTGTTCTCTAATTATTTATCACCAGCCTCAAGGTGAAGGAGGGTGAATGCTGTTATATCTGTGTGCTGTTTTATGAAACGTTGGACGGATTTGAATTAAACTCTCAGAAAGTCACATCTAAAACTTAACATTTGGAGTCATGCTAATATAAGATGGCTCTTTCAGCTAATTACCCTAACCAACAGACATCGCCACATCATAGTCAGTTTTGCAGATTTGAAGCCAGTGTTTAGTGTGGTAGTAGCTGAGAGTCATCACTTACTCACTAACAGACCACACAAGGTTGTTGTTTGAAACTTTGGCATGCGAGGCAGATTCGTCAGCTAACCTTTAGGTTTGCAGAAATGTTCAGATTAGTAGATCGTTAAACAAAATTCAAATGCACCGGCGGCTAATTTTGACCTTTGCACAGCTGAGCTAATTATTTTGCCGAATTGCATCTTTAGTATGAGCTTTCTTTTTTCTCAGTGACAAAAAGCACGTGGGACAGTGAACATTTGTTAGTTAGATAAGGAGTAAAGAAGAGTTTCACCTTCAGGCCACCTGCAGACTGGCTCAGTCCTGCTGCAGTAACACATCAGACCTGAAGGGGGCGCAACTCTCACACAGTTTATTCACTCCAGGATCAATGCGCTGATTTGCGACCAAATAATAATAAAAAAAACAATATAAATCACAAACACACACACATACACCATTAGTTTATTTGTTTATGAAAGTAAATATAAAAGCAGCCTGTGTTTGAGGAACAAAAAGAGGAAAAAAAAGTTATTTATTTATTTAAAATAAATATGATTTATGTCACAGTTCAAGTCATATTTCATGAGTTCATGTCCAGCAGCTTCACGCCCTGATGCTGACATTAATCAGCATCCTGCAGCAAGTTCTCAGTAAAGTTGGTGAGTGGTTCTGTTTGGGTTGGAGTTCTGATGGGCTGGCTGTGGGACGAGCCGGGAGGTGTCGGACTGAAGGGCCCAGATAAAGAGGCGCAGAGCGCAGAGACGCGAGAGGACGGAACAGAACGGAACCCAGCAGAACCCGGGAGAACATGGTGCCGGAGCGGCCGACCCATTAACATCCCGGTTCTAACAGCTGCGCAAAGACCTGCAGGAGGACCCCATTCAACTCAGCTCTTACTGTGAGTTTTATTAGATTTTTAAAATTTAAACAAGGACTTAAAACTTTTATTATTATGGACTTCAGTTATTTCTAAAGAGGATTTCCACCTTTTTGACGCAGAGCGCAGCAGGTGTTCTCCTTCATGGGACTCCTGATAAAATTTGTCTAAATGATTTTTATTAGATGTAAAAGAGGAAATGAGAAATAGCAGTTCTTGCACGCACAAACCTTATTTTTGATACAGTTCAGCACCATTTTTACAGCAGATTACTGGGTCTTGAAAACACCCAGACCTGTTTGAATGACAGCTGAGTTCAGTTTTGCTCTGAACAAACATCCTCACAGACATCAGGGCACAAGAAGCAACACCTTCACACTTTCTGATTCATCACGCAGCTACGCTAAATCCAGGATCAAATAAAGTTTAAAACACATTAACCTGGTCTGAGGGTGAAATCTGACAGGTCAGGGGTCACATCATGGTGAGGGGAGCCTCTGAAATAATCCTCACTTAGAAGAAAAGTAAATTATCAGATTACGGTTGCTTTGATCAAATTAAAGATGTGTTTAGTGGGAAACTCTGGCCTGGATTAAATATATAGTCTTTATTTTTACTGCATGTTTTAGCAAATATTTATTACAATCCAGCTATAAACTGTTTGCCTCATGAAATGTTCATTCCAGTTAAATCTGATTTGTGTTTGCAGTGCATGGAGTTTAAATCATATTAAAGGTCATCTCAGGGCAGTTTGTTAGAAAGAGTTTCAACAAAAGCTTATTTTTTTAAAGCAATCCAAATCTAATTTATTACAAAGCGATTAGCGTGTTTATTTATAAGGCTTTTTTATGGAAAACCAAGAAAATCTTTTAGTTTATTCTCTTGGGTCCAACGTGTTAATTTCTTTTTCTCTTTGGTTTTTATTAACAGAAGTGCTTCCACATCTCTAACAAGGTTGAGTCAGGTCCTGATGGGTTCATCTTTGTTCAAATGTGTCCTTTTTTTATCCAAAAAGATTTCTCCAAGAAGCCTTTTGGATAAACCGTGCAGCACGTTGCAATCAGAATTTAGGAAATATTTCTTACAACATTCCACGGAAACGTTAAAATTTTAGCGCAGACTGTGTTTCCTGTACAATTCTAAAATGCATTTAATGTTTTATAGAGTAAGAATTAAAAAAAAGCAGTGTTTTAGCCAGAAGAATGCTGCATCATTAAAAAAAATGCAATAATTTTTCGTTAAGTTGGTGAGGTTTTTAAATCACCGCTGCAGCTTTAACAGCTCTGCAATCTCACTGCTTCATCCCTCCAGAGACGTGCTGTCCAGACGTTCTAACCACACCTCCCCGAGTGTCCCTCACACCCAAACCCAACGAAACAACACAAACTGTGAACGCTGCAGCAGCCTGATGCACCCCGAACACGTCGCTTTGGTTGTTTTACCAGTCAGAACCGAACAAAAACAAGCTTTGGCGCTTTATTTAAAAGTGTTTGCCTTTTTTTTCTTGTAAGAATCTTAAACAGTTACACTTTCTAAAAGTTAAAATTAGGCCCCAACATTGAATTTAAATACATTAAAAATGCATATTCTCTTGATACGAGGAGAAGCATCATCACCAGAAGTGATGAATCTCAGTCTGGACTAAACCACAGGCCCCATGTCGGGCCGTGTCGGGTCAAGCGCCCTGCTCTAAAGCAGGTTATCAAAGAGTTAACAGAAACAGTGTCTTACAGTGACCCCCCCACATGGAAGTCAATTACTTCTGCGTCCTGATCAGAGAGGAGGAGTCGGCAGGGGGCTGTTTGAGCTCCGCTGCTCCTCATTAGCAAACGTCAGCTTACAGGATGAGCTGCTCGAGTTCAGATTATTAGAAATATCTATAATCTGAAGCTGGATATTTTATAGACTCTTTGTTTTGTTTGTTAAATAACTCAAATTGCTCAGCCCAACACGAGTAAACAACCCCATAAACAGCAGAGACATGATCCTATAAACAGCTCGAGTTACTTTGTTTCCCAAAAAAATAAAGGAAGTTGGAGTGAGGCAATTTCTACAAATAATAAATAATGCTCCCCCCCCCCCTCTTCTAAACTCTTACCTTCATAAAAACAGACCCCCTGCTGTGTAAAAACAGATATTGATCAACTAAAACACGACAGGAAGTTATAGACCACACACTCGGCATGTTCGGCACCTGAGATGCAACAACGTGCAGGAGAAGACTAATGTGTCTTGTTGAAGTCAGATTCTCACCTTTCACCTGATACCTGCCCAGTAAAAGGAGTTTCCACTCATCACCAAACAATTAGAGTTAACAAATAAATGAGTGGGTTTATACTAGTTGGTCCCAAGCTGCTGCACAGCAGGAGTGGTTGTTACAACGAAGTGCTTTCATTTTTACACAAATCCAATTTTTTTTAAATACTGTTTTCTTTTACTGACATATGATGCTAAATGGTGTCGTCCATTTTAAATGTTCATGATAAATCAGCATTTCTTAAATTCTCTTATAGCAAGGCCCCAGACGGTACTATTAAAATAATAATTACCGTATTTTTCAGACTATAAGGCACACTTAAAATACTTTAATTTTCTCAAAAATCGACAGTGAGCCTTATTATCCGGTACACCTTATGTATTAATTCTGATTACTGACCTCAAACTGATTTTATGTGGTTATTGTGAATGAGATGAATAAAGTTGGACTTATTTGACTGTTTTGTTTCACTTAATGCTTCTTATAGTCCAGAAAATACGGTAATGAGCTGCCTCCTACACAAACAGATGAAGGGTGCAGTAAAAACGATAATAATAATAATAATAATAATAATAATAATAATAATAATAATAATAATAATAATATAATAATAATAATAATAATAATAATAATCTGTGTAATAAATATATTTTTTTCTCATCTGAAGGTTAAATTTAGCTGAAATGCATCAAACATGAAAAGGACATAAATTATGTTTAGGCCAGCAGAGATTTTGTATTCATTCACTGACAGCGACCAACTTTTACCACAATTTTTTTTTTTTTTTTTACATTTTTTTATCCAAAACTGAAGTTTTTAAAATAAGTACAAAGTTTGGTAAATGTAATTTGTTACATGTATTTACATCCCATATCATCCTGATGCATGCTCAGTAATCCAACAAGATGGAATCAGGTCCTCTGGACGGGTTCTTCTAAAGTCTTTAGGATAAAAGTTTCAACAAAGAACCCGTTCTGACTCAACCTTGTTAGATACACATCATCATCTTCATGCCTGTATGAGAACATCAGATGTTATGAGACATTTCTCAACTTTAGTTTGTGCTACTGAACTGGTTTCTTAATGTTAGCTCGTTCAGCCTCTGTATGGATGAGTCACATCGAACCTGGTAACCAGTAACTTCTAGAGAACATAACGTGTGTGATGGACTGTATGTTGCATGCTCGACTGCAGTTTCTTACATTTAAAATTTCTGTTTAATTAGGTTTTTATTTTATTTCCGATTGGACAGCAGCAATCAGCCCCACACAACAGAACTCAGAATTAGCTGTCTGCTGTCCCAAAAATGCTAAAATCAGTTAAAGTTCTCTCTTTTGCCAGTTTCAGAGCCTTCTGCACATGCACCATAGTCTTGTTTCCATAAACACCTGCCATTCCTACAGTCATTTATACAGGCTGAAGTCTCTCCTGCTGCACAGAGGAGTCAGATGTTTGTGAGTTTTATTACCAAAAAAGGGCTTAGAGTACAAAAATATACCATACCAGCTTTATTTATAGAGCACTTTAAACACCCACAGGACCAAAGTGCTGTACACGTAATAAAACAATCATACAATCAGATAATAAAGACTGATTAAAGTTATTAAAAGTCAACATTACAGATGGTGTCAAAGGCCAAGAAGAAGGGAAAAATGAGTTTAGATTGTCGATCCAACACTATCAGTTTACTAATCCTAATTTGATCACATTTTAAACGATTTTTCAAGAGACTTCTTTATGCATGCACACACATTAAGATTTGTTTAAATGCTCAACAAAGTTTTAGAAACTTTGCGTTACAAACTGAAGCTCGGTGCAAACTCGCTGCAGACGCCGACAGGTTAGCAGGTCTGATGTGTGAGGCGTGGAGCTGAGGCGTGGCTCGTTGGCTGCGCTCGCTGTGAAACCTGGAGCTGCTGCTGCTTGCACCCGGCATCGTCTGCCTCAGACAAAGACACATTATTGTCTATTGTTTCTGCAGGTTATCGCACCTGATGTAACAGCTCGCAGGTATTTCTCTGGCTGAATGCTGTCATTCTGTCTCAACAGCCCCGGGCAGGTTTCTGGGAATAGGAAACACCCACACACACACACAGCTTTCTGACAGCGTGTGTGTGAATGCAGTCGGTGCATATTTTCATTCACAGATACATTTAGCCTACAGATACACCATTAGTTTTACGGTTTGCCTTTGTGCACCTGCGAGGAGCAACAGTAATGAGTTAAAATCAACCATTTCAGTCAAACATCTAAAACATGAAAGGAAACCTGATTATTGACAACTTCCTGTGATTTTATGCTCATCCGACCAAATTCTGCCTAACTTAATATTTAAGTTGTTTTCAGTTTTAGCTCAAGGATTCAAGGTTCTTTGTCATATGCATCATATGTGGTGCATGGGGTGGAACGGAATTGTGTACACAGGGTCCCAGTTACATCCAACAAAAGTATAAAATGTAAAAGATAAAAACAGTACTAAGATATGAAGTAAGAGAAAACGTTAACTCAGATGTAAAGTACAGTTTTAAGAATCTGCTTCTGGTCTGTGTCTCCATCAGAAGACCTGCTGGATTTGCAGCAGCAGAAATGGGCAGCAAGACTCTGCCAGCGCCAGTCCCTCTTCACCCGTCCCTTCAGCTGGCCAACTGCTCCCTCATCCAGAGCTCCACGGGTCTCCAGATGCCAGCAGATAATTTTCAGAGCATCTACAGTTTCAGCGCCCTTCACGCCATCCAGCTTCACCACTGGACCCTCGGCTATCAACCGCTGGCCTTCCCTCGATGCACCATCTCCAAGCTGCCTCCCCACTTTACCTCCATGGCCTCCATACCTATATTCCCCCATCTCTTGCAGCCCAAACTGGACTCCGCGGGGTTGCTGCAGAGCTCCAAGAGCAAACCCCGCTTTGATTTCGCCAACTTGGCAACGGCAGCCACGCAGGAGGACCATCTGAAGGTGGAGGACCTGAGCATGACGGGTCCTGCTCGGGCTGCGGCGCAGGTTTCGTCTCAACACCAGACCTCAGCCGGCCTGGGCTGCCTGCTGGACGTGACTAAACTGTCGTCACCAGAGCGCAAGTCCAGCCGCGGCCGCCTGCCCTCCAAGACTAAGAAGGAATTTGTTTGCAAGTTTTGTGGCCGGCATTTTACCAAATCCTACAACCTTTTGATCCACGAGAGGACACACACAGATGAGAGGCCGTACACGTGTGACATCTGCCACAAGGCTTTCAGAAGACAGGACCACCTTAGGGACCACAGGTGGGAAATCTGCGTTGGCATCGATGCGACACTTTGTTCTTATTCTCACGGTCTATCTGGGACCAGTAATGTTAGCCACCAACCGCAAAACAAACATGAGAATTATTCAATCTTGGTCAGTTCCTTTACATTTTAAGTTGTTAATTGTACAGCTGTTTACACGCTCAACATCTTACTGGTATTTTTGCATGAATGCAATCAACCAATAAATTCAGACTTTATTGATAGAACCGGTAAAATCCTCATGCTGGAAAAAAAATCTCACTCAAAAAGGTAAAATATAAAGCACCTGATGGTTTTTAGTTACTACGGTGCAAAGACAAACACACAAAACACAGACCTCCTCCAAGTATTAAAAGATTTATGAGTTCTAGGTTAACTCATTAATCTTCCTGTATAAATCTTACACCACTGATACTTGAATTCACCACCGCTTTGGGACGCTTGTTGGACGATTTCTTTAACTTTCTGCATTGATAGGCGACATCTGTGGCCCCAGAGGAACAGCTGCAATTGAGACCTTCAAAGTGCAATCAAAGAAATGCTTTCCAAACGCGTGTAATTAACCCAATCTCTGCCCCGTAAAGAGGTTGCGGTTTTAATGTGTCATCCATGTCAAACAATTCCTGAATATGGCAATTGGCCACATAAATGAGAAACATTTGATGATGCATTTACAAAAGCATCTTTAGGTCACTTCTGAAATGCAGCCTACATAAACAGCTGGATTGATTTAAGGCAGTGCTGAGATGTTAAACGCAACCAGGATTGAGTCCTAATTTTCTGTTTTGTTGTGTGTCCCACTACAGGTACATCCATTCCAAAGAGAAACCCTTCAAATGTCAAGAGTGCGGGAAGGGATTCTGTCAGTCCAGGACGCTGGCTGTCCACAAAACATTACACATGCAGGTCAAGGAACTGAAGCCAGCCAAGATTAAGTAATCCAGCAACAACAAGGCTAAGATCAGGACACTGGATGAACAAGATGACAGCCAGTGACTTTCATCTCAGCCGTGTGAGGTGCAGCTTTTTATGTAAACGTTCTTCAAGGATGAACTATTCCACCAGCCACCTCTTAGAGCAATCAAACCAGAATATGCCTTAGTGGAGAGGTGTATGCTTAGTTATCAAAGCCTGACTTGGCATGGACCCCAGTGGATGTGTGGAATGTGAAATGGACCTTAAAAATCCTTCCTGTGGCTCAGCACAAAAAACTGCTTCAAAAGCTTATAATCCAAAGAGGAAGATTACGTTCATGCATTTATTTTCTTTAAATGAAAATGATCAAAGCCATGTTAGAAAAACACATTTCCCTCTTAAAAAAAAAAAATCACATTCCAATGTTATTTTTGTACAGATGCATTATATCAAATTGTATTTTTGCACTTTAACCTGATTATTAATTATTGACATATATCACTGGATTTCCTAAACTTATTTTTAAATTGAATAATCATTTTTAAATAAAGTATTTTACTGTATCTAGGTTGCTTGTACGTTTTTTTCTTTCTTAATTAGCGTCATAAAGTGCATTTTACCACATGTTTCATCATAGTCATGATAATGTAAACTATGTTATTTAGCTGTTAATTCATTTTATTTAGTCACAGACTTTGGGCTTTATCATTTGCTTTAATGGTAATGATGATACTTTCCGCACATAATTTTACAGATTTGTCCTGTAGGGCATGTATGAATATATTCCCTTGGTTATGCTGAAGGGCTGATTACATCCACACATTTTTATTTTCTGTAAACAAAACAGTTACACCAAATTTCACAATGAGATTCAGCTCTATCGTGTAAATGAAGAGAATACAACTATAGGCAACATACTTTAGTCCTATATTTAAATACACATGAAAAAGCTAACAATGTATCAAGGATTAAAACCATCCATCCATCCATCCATCCATCCATCCATCCATCCATGGTCCTCTCGTGTAAGTAACAAGTCCAGACATTCCTGCAGAAAGAGTCTCCAGCTTTTCCTGGAGAATTTAAGGTTTTTTTCTAGACAGGACAAATAATCTCTTCACAGAGCACAAGGTCTGAAACAGTGTCCACTCCCAAAAAACTCCAAAGGAGAGGCGTCAAGGAGGCATCTTACTGAAAAGACCGGACCGCCTCAGCTGATTCCTTTCAATGCGGTGGAGCAGCGGCTCTGCTCTGAACTCCCACCGGATGATGGATCTCGTCACCCTGTTTGAGCCTTGCTACAGTACATGCTGACGGTTATGGCTTGAAGGTGGCAAACAAATTGCATAATCTACAAAAGGTCGAGATAAGACCCTGGTGCAAGCCTCGTGTTTTGCATTGCTGTCCACAAACAATACATAGAGGTGGCCCTCGCAGCGTTCATATTTCACCAGAAACAAACTTGACTGTGACAGTGCTCTTGCTTTGGTTATACATGGAAAACAGCCCTTTAATAAAAGGGACCTCAACACCCTATATTCCAGCAGCAGCCCAACAGAAAGCCTTTGGGAACATGATTGTAAGCCTGTTCCAGATCCACAAAGCATGCAGGTATGTGGACTGGTCTCCCATTACCCCCTTAGCAACTCTGCAAGGTAAATGGTCTGTACTCATATAACGCCTTTCTATCTTATCAAGATACTCAAAGTGCTTTACATTACATTCTGTGCCCTCGTTTACCCATTCATGCAGCACTCTATCTACGAAGACTAATCAGAGCTTTATCACATTCATACACTGATGGGACACACATCGGAGGCAATGAGGGGTTCAGTGTCTTGCCCTGGGACACTTCAGCATGTGACTTCTGGTGGAATCGAACCCCCAACTCTTGCATTGGAGGACGACTGCTCTAACCACTCAGCCACAGCTGCCATAGTTGAAGATCTGCTCCACTGGTCCATGTTCCAGAGGAAAGCCACACTGTTCCTTCTGAATGCAACGTTCGACAGTTGAGACGTGTCTTCCAAAATCTAAATGATGAGATTGTGCACGTGTGAGAGTTGTGTCTGTGTGTGCGTGTGTGTTACCATGATGTGTGCGTCATGCAGGAAGAAAGCTGCCGGACCAGGGGAAGGAGGACAGCAGAGCGGATGGCCGGCTTGCTCACCGTTTCTCTTGTGGTCAGGAACTCATTAGTCTGTCATCGATCCCCAAAGCAGCCAGGGACACAAACACACAGCTTGAGGTAGCAGAAGGTTGTGTACGTGACTCGTTTGGTAGCTTTGAGCATGAGGGACACAATCAAAGGGACTGTACTTCTGCTACATCACCTCCTGCTGTTGCTGCCAACATAATGTAAACTACTGAATAGAGTTGGGAGGGGAAGCAAAACGCATTATCAGGACAAACATGTTGCCTTTTCATGGGTTTGGCTCAAGGCTTCTTGCGAACACGTGTTTACTTCCTAGTGCTTGACGGCTGAAGTCTAGGCTTGCTGGATATTGAGTGGGTTGGCTTTCCTGCCGGCCTTGGCTTTACCTCTGTATCCTCTGGGCCCAGTGGAAATGTCATTCACTGCTACTGTCCTCACAGAGAGTTTGAGGAAGGGCTGGCAGAGGCCACTGTTAAACTGGTGCTGCACACAGTAGATGTCGCTCTGCCACGCTGACACATTTATGGCTTCCACCCGGCGGTTGAGTCGGAGTGTGGCAGGATGGACGCACGGTGAACTGACAGATATAGAGCTACCCCAATCTGCACACCCAGGCCACCTCCAATCAGGGAGGAAAGCAGAAAGAAGACCCCGCCCCATTAGTCCCTATCTCCATTACGACATTTTTTAAAAGAGCGTCAGAGTAGACCAGGAAGGTGAAAGCAGGTCTTGATGAAAATCATTTCCACATGGCTGATGGCCTCCTCACCCACAGGACTCAGGGTGACTCTCACCACTGCTGGGGACTCATTATGACACAACAGCCTGCAGCTGCATCACATTAAAACAAAGCAGTGGTTGCTGAGGTCTTTACATGTCAACGATGCAACTGTTGCCCAGAGATCATTGGGGGTCAGTTTGGACTCGCACTGAAACTAGATAACATTATTTTTCCTCTGATGGTTTACATGTGATTTTCTTGACCCCACTTCGCGCCACATTTCAGTCAACTTGTATTTCTTGAACTTTTTGCTGACAGCATGCTTTTGAAAATTAATCAATATAAAATATTTTATTTATTTATTTTTTAAATCAAACTTTTCTGTCTGAATGCTTTGTGGGAGGAATATCACTGTTAAAGTTTCATCTACATGCAGCCAAAGTATTGTAGTTTAAATTAAAATACTGTCACAGACACTGTCCATTTGAGAGTCAGTAAGTTTGGCTTAACTGAAGCCCCTAAAACCTCAAGGTATTGGACTCTTGTTGGAGAAAGTGACAGGTTGAAGGTGCTCGATGTTCTGGTCCAGGCTGATGTTTGGTATTTGCAAGAACAGGATGATGACCGGGTGAGGTCACAAGGAGAGATGAGGTTTCAGGAGACACAGAGGAGGACTTGAAGGACACAAGAGAATTCAAAGGCTAGTGTAGTTTCACAAGAAAAGGTTTCCGGGTTCATTTAAGTACAGAGGTATCATAACGTTCCAGCGTCGGATGAATGACTGCCAGGGGTTTAAGTACACTGCAGCGTAGTCATCAGGATCAGGTGCAGGTGTGGAAGGGTGGATGATTGAATGATTATCAGCTGTGGGGGAAGTGATTATGACTGAAAACCTGGGAATTCTATGAACACAACAGTTCTTTCCGACTCCCACACCCCCCATTGGCAGAGAAAATGCAACTTAGCACATACATTCATTTTAAAGCGGCAGATCGGTATCTTGTTATTTCCTATCTGGCAACCCTGACCATTGGTTACAAAAAACATCAACTTGAATATAAAAACTTTATTTATAGACTGATGACTGTGGGCAGGAACAAATTAATATATATATTTTTTAAATCCCATAATAACAATGTCAGTGTTTGAAAGTAGAATTTTGTCAGTAAATATCAATTTGTCTCTAATGAAAAACATTGCATTGACAGTTTCCAGCTTTAGACAGATTTATATTTTGGCAAGAAATCAAACGGCGCTTTAAAAATTGTGGTTGAGAGTTAGCTGACTTAAAGTTGCCAAATATCAATTTATTGGAAAATAATTGGTCCACCAACAGTTTCCAAAGTTAGTTCTGCTATTAGCGGATTATAACTCCCACCACTGAAAATAAGCATTTAGCTTCACATATAAAATGCATCAACTCTTTTTTTCACTTCCTGAGTTTCAGGGCTAGCACTATTAACCGTCTCTTGTCAACTTGACTAATTTATCAGTTAGCTGACAAGTTATTCCACTAATAAGATCAACTTCACCACATAGTAAATTTCCAGCCATCAAGATGTGTTTTTTCTGTGACAGCAAACAAAAAAGGGACAAAAGAAGATCAAGATATTTTATTTTTTATTTTACTTAAAATACCTTTGTTAAAACAACAAAGGTCAAAAAGAAAATGAATCAAAGCTGGTGAGGGAACTTCATAAAAGGAGATACTTACTTTAGTAATATGTTATTTTTTAATGCATGTGAACGTGTTCAGTGCCCTGAGACAACTTCTGTTGTGACTTGGTGCTTTATAAATAAACTAAATTGAATTGGATTGAATTCTTCGTTTTTTTTTGTTTTTTTTTTCCCCAGATTTCCAGTAATAATCTAAATGACGCTTGGAAGATGACATGACATATTTTCCAACAAAAATTGGAACTATTGATTGATCTGCGCACAATCTACATTTTCAGTGTGGAGCTCCGTCCCAAGCAGAGTCCAGAAAATTCAATGCTGCCATTGAACAAAGTTCACTGAAGGCTTCGTGTTTGCAAAGCAAAGTTTGAAGTGAAGCTCCCCAACACATTTGTCCACGTGACACCATGAGATATTCAAAACACAAAAATTAAGTAGCATTAACATGTTTCATTTCATTTTATTTCTGAAAACTGAATTCTGACTCACCTTTTAGGTGAAGGTTAAACTTTTATAAAGGTCTCTCAAATCACCGTGTAATTGGTGGATTCCAGACTCCACTAAAGACATAATGGTTGGCACGTTAATTGTTAGGAATAAATCATGTTCAATGTAAAGAGAGTTAAGTTAAACGCTAAAATTGGATTTAATGTGTATAATGTGGATGCAGGCTCAGGACATGGGAAAGTTGTGAGAAGGGTTAGGAGAAGAAAATTCAGAAGGAATGCTTAAAATGAGTGTTTGCCTCAAACAGGGAAGCAGCCTGCATTTACCTTCTCATTTCAAAAAATAACTCGGCGACACTTACACATCCCTTTTGTGATATCAGTACTTCCTGCA